TCCATGTTGCATCAATTATGCTAATGCTAGCTGCCTGTCACGTTCTCTCGTCCTGGCCACACCTCCGCTCTCTAACYCCCYTTCCTCTACCCACTTTGATGCATTTTTCAAATTTSGCCTTGGGGCGGAGTTATCTTTTCACGGGGGGTAAGATACACTTTAAGCTCTGCTGTCTGATAGATATGCTGTCATGTGTCAATCAGGACCTCATTTGTGGAAATAAAAAAAAAACACACGAAGGATCTTTGTGGAACCAATTACCAGCCGCAGCGAAACCAAAACATCAACAACTTTATTGTGGCAAGAATGTGCAATCARTATCCACTTGTAAATGTTTTGTTTCTGCAGGCATTTGAGAAATGTTAAAACGCTGCTACATTAACATTTGAGGCAGAGCGCTGTGAGCTACAAAGATACGCAGGCCGTTAGCTGTCAACACCGAGAGCTGATTTGCTGGGAGGATAAATCTGAGGCAGGGAGACGGCGAAGTGAAAAAAAAAAGAACATCAACAGGCTTCTGAGCCGAGTGACAGCACGGCTCACTTGTTGCCTCCATCTGGGACTGACACCTCTGATTTAATCTCAGAGGAAGAGTCACTGCAGAGCTGACCGTTTGAGACARGGCCACCATGTTCTACCTGATGGAAAAACAATATTCCACATTTTGACCTAAAAGAACAACATAAAAACAGGTGAATTTCCCCCAAAGCTGCATTCCAGAATAAATTTACACATCTGTGCTCGCCCCTTTTTGTCCTTTTAAATCAAATCACGCAAAAGAGATTAAGAAAAGGCGGACTGATGGGTGCAGAGACTGCTGCCCCTAAGCCCGGATGGAATTTGCGATAAGATGTGTCGCCTAAACTCTTCAAAACTCCAGACCCAATCAGACGAGCTGAACCAGACAGAGGAGCCTCAGGTTGATCAGATATTGTGAAGCAATGTCCTGGAAACAAAGACTCATGATGACTCAGAGCAGATTGCTTCATCAGGTGTAAAGCTCCCGATGAAGAGACGTTTGTTTAAGGACTATGCAGCAGACAACATGGGAGTCAGCACTGCACAAGCTGCAGTATTTAAAACCAAATGTTGTTTTTACCCTTCTGGGTTCATCCACTTTGCCCTGTCAGTGGCTCAGAGTGGTCAACCACTCAGTCCACTCAGCACTGAGCAATAAAAAGGACAAAAGCTTGGTCACTGGCCTAAGAGCTGGCCAAGGGGAGCAGACGTAGTCCCAAGTTTTTATATTCTTGTTGTCAAGTCAATCCTCAAAAAATGATTTTAGACATGCCAGCTTTAACCGATTTGAATGATCATTTTAAAGGAGACTTATGCAAAATCCACTTTTTTTTTTAGCTTTGTGGCGTACTTGGATTCTTTAGGAGTGCAAAAAAGTTGAATTTGGCTGCATAGATATTCCTTTTCAACCTGTTTAGTTTTCTCTATTTTCTTTGACATTTTCTGAATGTCACAGTTTTTGTGACGGAACTGCCAAATAAGATCTGAACTTGCTAACTATAATTTGGTCATCTTCGTTCCCCTCTGGCTCTGGATTAGATTCTGGCTCCAACAGAAGTCCTCTGTTGTTGACATATTTTAATTAATTTCTAAATAAAAATGTTTCTGCACCGCTCTATAGTTATAAACTAGAACGGACCACTCTGGAAGCTGGAAGAGTGTGAAGCATCTCGTTTGGATTTAAAGAGACAGCCTCAAAACGAGTTGATCTGAGACACACCTCAGAAAAGGGGGTGAAAGAGGGGCTTGTGGAGTTACAATAAGGAGGAATTCAGACCAAAGTGTTGCAGTTTAACTTTATATAGACCCTAACTGAATGATTTAAATGTGAAAAAGGAGGATTTAAAAGCACATGTCTCCTTTAAGACCAAAAAAATAAACATGCTTGATGGATTATGAATGTATGATCTCCTCCAGTCCCTCCCTACGGTGATCCAGCAGCTGTTTATCTGCACTCCGCCCGTCACACTGAAACAACGGTCCTGTGTAACGTTTCTCTAACAAACGCTACATTCACTCTGAGGAGCYTCAACCACCGGACACCTTCATCTCAAATCTGTGCTGACTTCTGAGCTAAATCTTAATAAAATAAAATAAAATAAAATTACAAGCCTTGGCAGTCTTTAAAAACAAACCTGAAGTGCTTCTTGCATGCAGGTCATAAAGATCAGCGTTCCTCTAAGTTGGTGCTGGAATCGCAAGTTTGTTTGTTTTTTATGTGAGTTGGCAGCATTGTGGGTAATGAAAAAGATGCTCACATGACACCTGCCTCGGGCTTTTATGACTGTGGTTAACCTAACAAGCCGAAAGACAGACTAAGCAGATGAGAACCATAAACTGCACGACAGATTTTCTCCTTCAGTGTCTACGGTTATTAAAGGACTTACCACCACCTGTGGTACCGAGTCCACATCAGCCTCAGCTGCAGCCAACGTCTTGAACTGCTGAGGGCTCTCTATGACCAGCTCCTTCTTTGGAGATTTATTAGCCCTCCCTTGCATGGTCAACAGCTCTGATGAGATGCCTTTGATTTAAATCCCAAAAAGAAGCTCACAGCAAGCATGTCAGTGAGAAAAACGAATCTTTAAGTAGAAAAAAGAAAATAAAGAATGTGGATTTCTCTTCCTCCAACTCAAGCTCAGCTCAGACTGCTCCGACTGAGCGGTGAACTCACACCCAGGCTGAGGAGGAGGCCCCTCCTACACTCGAATGAGCAGCCAGAGGGAGTTAAACACCCTCTCACCCATATATGTGTATATATA